TGGCTGGCTGTGTGCATGAGAAGAATTCTCTTTCTTCTAAGAAAGATCATGCAGAAATCAGGAGTCGGAAAATTGACATGGGAGTATAAGACAGTTCCCAGCACAAAAAATCCTGTGTTGATTTTCAGGAAGAGTATCTCTTGTAAAAAGAAGTTACTCCTCATCTTCTCTTGCACATGATTATTTACCATTTGTTGAGCACTTCTCATCTGTTCAGTGCTGTGGAAAGCTTTACTCTGCTTCTCCACTGGTCTCTGGCACTGCCCTCTTTTGAGTTTAACACTATTTTTCTAATTTTTACAGACAATTTGACTCCATCTACAACATCTGGATTTTGTGGCTGTGTCTACAAACTGTGATTGGTAACAGAAAACTTTGCAGTTGGATGGAAAGCTGCATATGCTGAAACCATCACTGCAGGACAATGTATTATTTGAAGGTTCTGAGAGACAGGTTCCCCAATCCAAATCTCTGCTTGTATAACACGGAGTGATGTTTTCATAATATTCATGAACCACACTGAACTGTCACACAATGGTCTTTTCTTCTAAAAAGGTATCTATCAGCTCAACTTTTGCTGTGGTCAGTCATCATTTCCATCATAAAGTTCTACTTTTTTGTACTTATAAAATATGGCAATAAAATATCATGCCAAGATTAAACTTGGCATACAAGTTCTGTCCAGAAGTAACCTCAATTAATCTTTTTCAGCTAGCAAGTAAATTGACAGTCATTTTTAAATCATTTGAAAATGAAAGCTGTAGAGGTTCAGGTTCTCATAATTTTCTTCCAGTCACAGGTCCACAGTTTCAGCACCTCTTAATGATTCAGCTAAAGCAGTTTGCAAGAGCTCCTTCGGATCCTGAATGTCTTGAGGAGGTTTTGTGTCATAGATGGGATTACACATGCTGCTCCCACCTCACTTTAGCTATAGAGAGGAAGGCTGAAGGAAGACGTTATAGCTGGATTACTAAGTACTGTGCTGCTTGTAGCGCAGAATTTAATATAATGAACTTGGGTGTTTCCATTTGCACCACTGGAAATGCTGGCTGCGGGAACTGGGACCTCACAGCCTTGACAAGCTTCTCTCAGACACAACATGGAATCACTTGGAGTACTTCCAGACAACTATACAGAGGCACCTATATTCCTCATTCTACTCTTTTTATGAACTGCTTATGGAGAATTAGATTGGTAGAAATCAGTCCAGCAAAGTGTTCTGGAACACTGTATTGTAACAGAAGGACAGTCTACTACAATGCTTGCTCAGTCATTTTTTGGAGAGTAAACGTAGCAGAGGCATTCTTCAAAAGTTGTTTTGCTTTGCACTTAGAAATCTAAGTTCTGTCTGTTCTCTGTGCCATCAGAGATTTGTTGTGTGCAGCTGTTTAGAGACTCCTGCTTGCATTAGGGTTCCACCATGCTGTGTGCTATACAGCCTTTCACAACTTCCAACCCTGAACCTGCATCTGAACCCAATATCCATCAAGTTTCATCAGTGCATCCTAAGGGCAAAGAGGTCTTTGCTAATGGATCCTACTGTGGGATCTGATTTTCATCTATATTTGAAGTGATTTGTTTTCCCATCTGCAGATTTCCAAGAACAAAGAGGGAAAATAAATTATTAGTCTGAATATCTGCCCCATTCTGATTAATCATGCCCATGATGCATGTGAAGACTTCTTGGGAGCAATATTGGCGGCTATCATTAAGTCTCAGCTGCTGTATTTTCTAGACCATTTCAAACCATACATATACTTCACAGTTCAGCTTTCCTGTTGCTACAACGTGTTCGCAATTAATGTACAATAAACAAGCACACAATTGTTCCATTTCCAGGGAATAAAATCTCCAAGGGTATAAAATGAAATAAAAACTATCCATCCTTCCCCATATCCTGAGAGTTAAAAATAGAGCAAGCGATTAACTCCCCAAACATACTATGTGTTTTAAACCATAGTTAAACAGTCACTTCAATTTGGCATATGCTTTTACTGCTCCTGAAGTCCTGTCCTCTCTTTACTTTTAACTATTCACTCCCCACTTTTTGGTGTTAGCACAAGAGTTCAAGCAACCCTCTAAGGTGGGCCAAAGAGCTGTCTCTACCAAGACCAAGGCTTTTTTGCTTAGCTTAGTTTTTGGCTGGGTCAGCCCCCTTGATGTGACTCACTGTAGTACCACAGAAATGCCAAAGGAGGAGAGGGTGAGATGAGGTGAGGATTGCATAAGCTGGGGTGACTGCCAAAGAAATGTTCACGCAACCACGGTCCCAGTCCCAGTCTCATTCCTGGGGGCAGAAATGTGAGAAGGAGCCTGCTGTCTCCACCAACTTGTTCTCTGTCGCTCCCCTTTGGCAGTGGCAGCATCCCAAGTCCTTGGGGTCTGGAGCAGCTTCTCTGGGTAGCAGAATTGCTAAGAGGTGCTGGGAAAACCCCAGCAATGCAGTGCTAATGATCAGCACTTGTAACAGGACAAACAAATACAACCAAAGGACATCACTCTGATCTGATGCAAGGCAAGTGAAGTTTCTCCTTTGGCAAGCTGCTGTCATTGCTTCCCCAGTTAAAGGGCTGAAGCAGGAGGTTACAGGGTTGAGAAAATGGACCCCAAGAAGATGAGGAAGAGAGTAAAATTAAAAATTAACTTTTCATTACACTTTCACCAGCAAATCTCTCCCCTAAGCAGATCCTATTCTCCACTGCCAGAGATCACTAAAAGATGAGGATTTTCCTGCCTGCGGTGAACTTCACTCTGAGTAGGAAAATTGTCAAATGTGGCTTGCGGTTTGTGTCTCTTTCAAGCTCTGCATTGCCCTTTGTTCTGCATGAAACATGACTTTGGAAAGCCAAGAGAGACTTGAGAGCTGCCCAAATGGTTTGATAAACACTCACTTAAAGGAAGTGTATTTGCCTACTTGACTTATTTTAAAATGTCACCAAGGCACTCAACTTCTGTTCACTGCAATATTCTGTTTTATTCCTACCTGTTACAAAGTTACTACTCTGAATATGGTGTCTATTACAGGAAGTAACCGGTTGAACAGATCCTAGAATCACTTTGCTCCCAAAAAGGTATTTCAATGGAGCGAGAATGATGCTCCTGAAGCCCTGCTGCATGTTTATAAGCAAATCGATGCTGGACTTACAGTCCTTATAGAAGACTGCTACTCTTACTTAACAGTACCTTACAGGGTCAAGGAAACACAGTTTGAATATAATAAATCCAGAGCTTTCTGTTTATCTATATACTCCACAGACTGACAAAACTACTAGTATACTAACTAAATGTACTTCACCAGTCACATCTTTAAAACAAAACTACTACAAAAGCAGGAGTATATTACGATGTCACTTGCTTTACACTAATTTTATTAGAAAGCTACAAACATGCAGCAAACATTAAAAACCTGTTCTATGATGATGAGAGAAGATGTACATACAACTCTAAGTCTGTGCTTGATTCAGAAGCAGACTGATGATTGTGTTTGTGGCTTTTTTGGGGTTTAGCTAAAAAAAATGCACTGTACAAGTAACCACAATAACTTTGTAAAGGAAAACTCACACAACGTGCCCCACGTAGTTAGGACTCCTCTTTCCACTGGATACTGATGAATTCAGTATAAAAGAAAAGCACGTAGTTGAAACTGGAAAAAATACAGAGTTGGGTTTTCAGAAGTGCTCTGCATTTGTCCAGTTCTGCTCTAGTTTGAGCAGGTTAAGCCCCATAACTGAGGACTTTTGGAATTGGAAACATGACTGTTTACTGAGGCTCAGGAGCAACTGCTTCTTGGAGGAAGACGGTATGTACATTAAAATGTATTATATGCTACATTATAAAAATAGAGGTTGTGCTCTTTTTGCAGGTCTCATGGTATGATACTCAGCTGTTTTGCTCTGCACAGGTTCCCCTAACTGCTCACTTGGTTTCGATCCATCTGGATTTTCACCACAGAATTTTGCTTTGAGTTTCTAATTTGAATACAGGAAAGCTCTGCCAAAACCACATCACATTCAAACCACAGGAAATCATGAATTTGGCACCGTTTAGACATGGAAGCTGTAAACAGTGTGCAGGTTCACTCAAAACTGGATCACTGTCCTTTTAGTTATGAAACACAACAAAACTTCCAGCAAACCAGGTCAGAATTCTGAATTACTAAAGCAAGGAGAAATTATGTGACTTTTGCATGGATCAGGATTTTGTTATAAATATTTTCCCCTAAGTTTTTTCCTTTAGCTAAAAACATCCTATGTGGAAGAGTAAAAAGAAGAGTTGGGTTGCCTCCTTTCCAAGTCTGAGGACTTGGATTTAGCTAAAAACCAGGATTTAGCTAATTCATATGGCTTTAACATACATGTATCCTATTAAAGACAATAGTAGTTTCCTATTTGCAGTCTTGAGCATGAATAACTGTAAAAATCAGAGTTACACTGAATATGGTTTAGTTTTACTAAACATTTTAGTGCAAAATGATGGGTAGTAAACTTGGAGCTAACTTACACCACTGCTACAGGAGCAAGCCTCCGTTTAAAATCCAACTACATCTTCAGCTGCCAAACACTGGATTTTTTCCCCAGGATTCCCGTTAGCAAACCACAAGGAACTTTTATGAAAATGGAAAAGTCTAAAGCACAGTTTTTGCCTTCAAAATAAACACTGCCCTAAAGAAACACATATTTGTAAAGAAGTCACAAGTTCATTGAGGACGAAAGGAAAACAACCTAGATTTCCAGACCAAGCCTGAAAACAATCCAGATTCCAAACCTACCCAAGCTAGAAGTTTGAATGTAGAACTACGTGAAGGTGGTTTGACTGAAGTAAAACAAATAGGAAGCAAAATGTAGTCATGCAAAACAAGACTTATATTACTGCACTGCCTGCAAGAAAAAGGCAGTTTAATCTTGCTGAATTCCTTCTTTACCATATGTTTAAACCAGGCATTTTGAAAAACTCTGCAGGGATCCATAACACACAGAGCCCATACATCAGACATATCTGACCTGTCATAGAGTTTTCAGATGTACATAGTTGTTCTCGCAGTTTTTCCACGTCATCTGGATGAACCTGTTCGTACAAAGTGCTGCCAAACCATTCAGACTGTGGCTGGTTCAGCACGGGAGTCACAGAATCTGATACGTAGATCACTCTTCCCGTCTCAGCTGCGACTACAAACAGGAACCCATCTGCAGCCTCCAGAATCAGATGTTTCAGTTCCTTCCAAAGAAAGGATTTGATTAGAATGCCAGTAAGAAAAGGGAAATAAATAACACATCTGTCACTGCCAAAGAATATTGTTTTCTTGTGATCTTAGTAGCTGATTACAACCTAGGCAGAAATTTTCACTGTACTATTGATACAACAACACAACCAAACTTGCAGCAAGTCATAAATTGCTGATTTTAAATAACAAACAACATTTTGTTTTCATTTATTGCCTTTCATCTGTTGATCTCAATGCACTTTAGGAAAATTAAGTAACTAAAACTCACTGCATATTGTGCGATAGGCATCTAACATTAAAAAAATAAAAAGTTATTTTAGAGTACAAACAGAGGAAATGAACAGCTATAACTCATAGGGCAAACTCATCCCTTAATTAAACGTCCTGAATAATTTAATTGGAAAGAAACCAACAAGTCTTTCTGGTTTTCTTTTCCTTTTTCCCCTCAGGATGATTTCTGTTTGTAAATTAAACAGTCACTGGATAAAAGGCAGAAAGTATAATGGGAACACGGACAACAATCCCCAGTTTCCTCTCCCATTAGGGGGTCTGAGCCACTATCCGAAGGTTGATTCACTTCTCGCTTTCCTTTTCCAGTCTGTGAATATGAAGCCTCAGAGATCCAAAGGGTTTGGAACATCCCTGTCTTTGGCCTTTTCTTTACACAGCCCCCTGCTCACCATCCTGGGTACTTCTGTCCTGAGACACCCACGCACCCAGATGACATGTAGCACCCAGATCCCCAATCCCACCTGGGGACTGGAATGGGGACCATAGACCTTTAAAGCAAAGTATTTCTGTCCCTCGTTTTCAGCCACTGAGTCTGGACACCCAATACTCTGAACTTCACATGCAAACAGCTGTTTGTGTGCATCACACAGAAATGCTAATTTTGCTTAACAGAGCTTGAAAACCTCTCATGGGAAAGGATGACAACTACCACTCCAATTCCTGGAAAACAAGCTCAAACAGCATTTGCTTGGTGGCTCCAGTGACCATCAGAGCTTGTTAAGATATTGCGTCTGGAACTCAGACAGAGAGCTTTGGACAATCTGAGCCCCATTCCAGGTTAGACAGCTCATCACAACTGGGGTGCAAGTGGCAGATATTAGCTGATAAGGTGAGGATCACAAACTTCTACTAAAGAAATGGATAAGTCATCTCAAGAAACACTTGAAACACCATCAACTTCCGCTGCTTTATTGTAGAGAAAACACATCAGTTCTGAACCACTTACTAAATAAAAACACTCACTGTATAGCTGGCTGCACTATACAGAGCATAACGTGACCTGTTTTGCATATATTATTAAGAAAGAAGAAGATGTCATCACTGTCATTCTGCAAGGTTCAAAAAAACCCCAGAAGGTTGCAATGAGAAGTGACTAAGGTCCCCTACTGACAACCAGCTGAATGGCCCAGTCCCTCCAGAAACACACTTCAGGAAAGCCAGAATAAGTAGAGACATGAACACTGAAAGGTCAGCAGCAACTATTGTTTCTCTAATAGAAGGAAGTATTGCCTCTAGCCATAACTTACATGTGTGAGTGCTTAAATTGTTCAGACCACAAAAATGCACATTACACCCATAGGACTTCAAAAACAATGGAGCTGGTAGGAATTTCCAGTGCACTCAGTTAAACAGTTTTCCTTTGAGCACTGGGTGCATCTTCCTTCTTCCATCAAAAATATAACCAAGGAAGTACCTCAGCTAGTACGGATGGGCTTCATCTCTGCCCAGTTCAAGTGCTGGGAACTTAGGTATTGAGACTAAACATGAGGGAGAGGCAGGTCTTTCCAGAATCATTTTTACCTATTTTAGAGTATCTTTGTTAAGATGGGTAGAACCCAGTTCTGGAGGTGAAAATTTCTTTCCAATGATGACAGACAGCAAGTGACTTGTTTTTCAGATGGACAGACCTTAAGGATAAGAATGTCCATTTTGCTGTTTCAGAGAGGGATTTGTTATACAGTTAAGATTAAGTCCAGACAGTCACCAAAAATTGTCTGTATTCACATTTCAGATATGTAGCTTGTGCCACTTACTACACAACAGCAAAGGATCAAGCTGAGACTCTACTCCCCTCAGTATTTCCTCATATCATTTAAGACCACAAACCAGAGAAAGCAAGACATTTGTGAAAAATTTACCTGTTCTGTAAGAAATGAAGGCTTGTAAGCTCCATCAGTAGATTTGTTTCCAGTGCCCCTCATTGATTTCATGTGTGAAACAGCCATACGAAGAATTGTCAGCTTGTCAGGCTTACGAGCCAACGCGCTACAAGTGGGTACCATGTCGGACAGTTCGGTGATGTACTGTGTCATCTTATTTCTCCTGCGTCTCTCAATTTCACTATGATTCTCTCTGAACATTTAAAGAAACATCAAATCAACAGGAAAGCATACATGACCAGTGTAAGTATTTCAGTTGGAGGTAACAAATTATAATACTTCACATTTTGCTGTTTTTACCCCAGGAGAGCAAAGTGCTTTGCAAAGGTGAGTACTATTATCCCTCAGTTTATAGACAGAAAATGCAGGCCACGGAGGATAAATATGATTCATCCATAGTTGTGAAAAGAATCCGTATTTCTAGCTATTGGCTTCTGGCTTGAATCTCTGTACTAGTTTTATCTCCTTTGGTTTAAGGACAAAAAAAAAAAGAGGTAGAAAGATGTAAGGAAATGAAAAATACCAACTCCAGCCAAACTCCCAAATTTTCAAGAGCTGTGATGTATCTCACAGCTTCCAGTCCTTGCTCAAGATGTTGGCTCTGCTTATAAAAGGACTCTTCTAGAGGAAACCTCTCACTAACAGCTGGATCAGGTCAGCAGTAAGTGTCAGTGTTGACTTACAAAAAAATCCCACTCAATGACAACACAGATCTCCAGTCCTGTAATGCTGTGTGGAATGTCCCACATGCCTACAGGATCAGACTGCAGGACTGGGATCATATATGGTATAACAGTACATACAAAAAACCTCCCAGTAAATAAATAAAATGAGTATGAGAGACAGCAAGTAAACATTTGGCTTGTCAGACATAGATCAGAATTTATGTTTGAGAACAATCTAGCAGAGCAGGGAAATAACAATGACAGTACTTGATGCTGCCCCACTTTGGGCTGAGCTCCAATGTTATCCTTTAGAGCAAACATATGACTGAGGTGATGAGACTAATTTCAGAACTTTCAAAATGGGACAGTCACCAAAATCTTTCAGAACTGAAGATCTGGGCATTCAGTTTTCCCATACTGTAAATCACCATTACTTGATCACTATTAAGAAGTTACACCAATATATACATCTGAGATGGTCCAAATGGACCTAGAATACTTCAGTGCCTAGTACTTATTTTTCCCATACTGTACCTGTCAGGTGGCAGCTAAATACAAGTACACGACAGGTACATGATGCTTCAGATGTCAAAGCAGCAGCTTCCACTGATTTCAATGAGCCGTGCATGGCATTTTCTTGTGGGATCGCTGGCTGATCCAACAAGAGGTGAAAGGTGATCACTTGGAGAGTCCACCAGCATTGACAGGTACGGTAACAAAACATGAAAAGAAACTGCAACATTCCCTGGGGCTGACTGCTGTGAAGAGTGATTGTGAAAGTAGGAGCTAGGCTTGGTGTGCTTTTTGGCTGGTTTTAATAATGAAGCCTTTTCTTAAAATGCAGGGAAGAATCTGAGTTGTAGCATGATGCTTCCTGAAACAGAGGAATCCATGGGCTTGCCCTGCTTTACAATGTGTACCCTGCCACTGTACGTAGAGGCGTTATTTGCACAAGGCATTGTCTCCAGAAATACCACTTGTTAGGACTACATGCAGAGTTAATATTCCTACTGATGCCTATGCTTACCCTCTGATATTCAGGAAATTCAGCTATGGGTCCCTGCAATGACAGCCCAGTGTCGTTCAGTAAATTACAGCCAGTCCCTTGGTTAAGGTCACTATCTACTTAACTATCTATTACATTAAAATAGTGAACCTTTGCATTTCAAATGGCTCATAAATAGCCTTTCTGTGGGTCTGCAGAGATGTAGGAGAGAACAGTGCCTGTAGGAGTTGGATTGTATACACATAAACAAGTAGAACAGTGTGTGACAGTGCAAATGTATGTAAGAGCACACATGTGTACATGTCAGCATATACATGCAGATAAACACAGACAAGGGGAAAAAAGGTATTTTTACATTATGAAAGCTTGCTCTAAGCTCAGTATTTTCACAGAAATGGTGATCAAGAAAAGAGAGAGAAAGACAAGAACACACATATTCAGCATACGTTTTACATTTAAAAAAGACATATTCAATTTTCTGCCACTGAAGTGTTTTAATACTCCTGAACATTAAAAACAACTATTATAAAGAGTAAACAAAAAGATTGCAAAACTTCCTGAGAAGAAAGAGAAGAATATCCAACAGTCCATTTCATTTATGATCATAAAAGCTAAAAAGTAATACTATGTTAATCAACTGGCCATGAAAACATTCAAGCAAACAAAATCCTGAAAGTTTCCTGAAACTAGTTCAAATTTAAACCCTTAAAAGAAAAATAGGGGCTGTGCACCTCTTCCAAAAAAGTCTGCCCTAGGAACCCTGGCATTCATAAACATGTATACAGAATAATGTCCTAATTCTGTCATTTCTAACTTTGTTTTTGTATGGAAATTTTGGAGGGATGTTAAATTTTGGGAGACTGTGGGAGCTGATCCAAACCCACTTAGATCCAGGGTTAGTATCTCTGATTTCAAGCATTTTTGGATCAGACAACCCTGCTGACTTTTGATCAGTCAGAACAGCATCATGTAAAATAAAAATGGGGGCAAACCATATACGATTTTCCTTTTCCCTACCTGGCCATCCTTTCTGTGGCAGCAGTACTTTGATCATCATCCCACCTAGAAACAAAATAACCAGCTCTCTAAACTAAGGCACACGTACTGAGATTTTTTGGACACGACCATTCCCTTCTTTTCTCTCAGCAGAAGAGCTCTACAGAACACGCCTACCTTGCAAACTTTTCCTTATCACCAGAGATTTGATCACCATCATACCTAGAAACAAAAGACAGTAAGTAAATTCACAAGGGTTACGCATCGCATGACAGTCAACACACAGCAGAAAGCAGAGAAGTTCACAACTGCAAACTATTACAAATAACAAGAAAAACGAGAGCATGAGAACAATTAAAGCAAAGGAAACGTAGAGTCTGACGAAACTTCCAAGCCATGCTGATTGAAAAGCTTCATCTGTATATTTTAAAAAGTTGGAGGCACATTTCAGTGGATTTATGCAAACACTTTGACATACACTCATTGCTTGGGAAACTTAATAACCAGCACCATTACAGAAAACACCACTGAGCTTTTATTGACAGCAGCCCATGAAATATTCATTGCTGTGTTGGAAGTGAACGAGCTATATCTTTTCCAGATTAAAACCACAACTCACTCCATTCAGCAGAGGGCACTGATGGTCTACAGATAACATGGGAGGGCAGAGACACACGTTTAAGTGCAATATGTTATATAAGGATGCCTTCAGAAAAAGGCTCTAGTAGGTACAGACACTGTACTGTCTGTTGGGGAGACTGGCAAAAGTCAGTCAGGCAGATGAAACTGTTGGGTAAATAGAAGTGAAATTAAAACTGGCTTAAATCCCTAGAAGTAAACAGGTACCTCATTCCTACACAAATCAACAGAAGTTAGATGTCCACAGCATATCGGCAGCAACTTTACGGAGTAAATCCTGATCAATGGGACCTTTGTCCCATGGGATTAAAGCTTCACTGCTTCTGAAGTGCTGTCTCCAAAACAGGGAGCAACATGACTTTTTAATAAAAAAATTACATGCTGCTCCTCCTTTCCCCTTCCTAAAAACAAACTAATCCTTTGAAATTAGATTTTGCTAGAACAGTTACAAAAAGACACATTTAAGATCTAACTTTTTGAGAAACCAAAATGCTTGTTCCAAACCAGAAAATGTAGGTTTTCAAAAATACAAAAATAAGGCTAATGGCTTTTCTAGAATTGAAGATTATTACTGCTCAAGAATAGTCCAATGATATTTTGTATTGGAATTAGCTTTTCCAAAATGATGTCATTTATTACAACAGAGCCTATGAAATTATGAAGCCTCTATGTAATAGCTAACAAGGTAAAATTAAGTTTTTCCTTTTTTTCTTTTCAAACAAATTAAAACTACTTTTAAGTACCCCAACCACACAAGTGCCTCTATGAGAGTTCATATTTTCCTTCCCCAGTAAGACTCAAACTCTGAAGAGCAAGCTTAAGAGAGACCTGAGTTATATTTCTTTCTATGTCGCATTTAACATCAGCACTCTCAAAACACTCAAATGAAAATGCCACTTTCTGCCACTTGACTCTGCCCAGAGTGCAGACTGAGCCCAAAAAAATGTTAAACAGAAAGACAGATTCAATGAGGAATGGCAACATGCCGTTATCTGAGAAGTACATGCAGACGCCTCCATGTGCCGATGAGATGCCATGCAGAGATACCTGAGCTGGCTTGGAAGTCCCTGAGAAGCAAGGTGTGTTAACTCACGTGGAGGACCGTACTAACACTACTATCTCCTGTGTTCCTGCTACCTTGGGACTTGTCTACTCATCCTGCTCTAGTTGGTTGGGCTGAAGATGTTATTGCCTCCAGCTACTCTTTTCTCCCTTCCAGTCTCCCAGCTGACCTCTCTGCGTGCATGCTTCTTCAGGCACTGCAGTCAAAGCCAGCTGGGTTAGCTCAAACATTTAAACAGCAGTTCTTTGCTAACCACAGTTTTGACCGAGACAAAGCTAGGAATCAGTCATGTGAGCAATGTGGAGAAGGGAAAGTCCTAAAAGGGCACAACTAGAAGAGAATGTCTGAGCATGGCCCTGGGCATCATTTTTTCTGTACTTTCTAAAAGTAGAACAATCTGGGCTTTTTAGAGCATTTAAGATTTAAATATCAGATTTTGATCTGACATCTAAAATTAACTGAGTGCAAGCACAGCACAGCATACTTCTCCAATAAAAATAATGGAACTATTGACTCTCCCCACCATCAAACTTCAACAGGCTGAAGCCAGGATGGAGACAGACCAACGCACGTGCACCACTGTGCCTAGAAATCCTGACACTTAGCAGGCACAAACCAGGTCACATTCATCACAAATCTTGTTCCCTTAACATGCACCTTCTAGTAAACATCAGGACCAGCCCTCAGATCACCAATTTTAACACCAGAGGCTGGAATATTTTTTCTGTAAATGAGATCAGCTAAACCAGGGTGCTGCTGGTCTTGTCTAGTAGGTTATGATATGATGGTACAAGACATCTTCAGCATGCTTATCTTTCAGATTGACTAGGAAGATCTTGTTAAAACCCTACAGTGAGAGCTGTGTTTGAACATGGATGCTGGTATATAGCTACAGTTACAATTTAGATAATCAGTAGTTATTAGCTTTTTTCAAAGTATCTACCCCTTGCTGCAACTTCTTGGTTTCTAATGAAAAAATGCAAACAGTGTGACCAGAAAAAAAGGAAAAGTGAAAAAATGGCAATGATGCTTTAATGTCTGTTTTTTATTTCTAGCCTAGAATATTCCATGTTAATTAACATTTATTTTGGCAATTTTTACTATTCAGTTACGCCTAATGGCACATAATAAGCTTTAATCTTAAAAAAACAATCCACAACTCTAGGATCTGTCATATTGTCTTAACAAGCAGTTAACATCTGAAATAAATTAAAAATAAAATTCATTTTCAGTGGCAGAAGGACAACTTCAGCAAACAACCAAAGTTCACCTACAGCAGTTGAAATAATAAGCTAAAAATCACAAATTTCCCGATTTGACATAGCTGCAGAGTGAAATTACGACACACGCACTGTCAGCTTTGTTAGCCAATAACTACATTAGGCAGATTTCTGCCAGGATGTCTAATTTGCAGAGGAAGCTGATAAAAACAGTAACGAGAATTTAGGTCAAGTTGTTGGCAAGTTCTTCAGCCATATTCATACTGACTCTAAAACACCAGCAGGAAGACAGTTGTCTTTCTCCACTGAAAGAAGTCAGTGACTTGGCCAACACTCACCTTGAAAATTTGCTGGGCCCCTCCCCATCTTCATCATCGAAGTCCATTCTGTAAAAGCAAGATTTCTAAATTAGTATTCATGACATTGGCAATGGTGACATTCAAGCCAGCAGTTCTCAACCTTGTTTGATTTATATTTTGACCAGAGGTGTTAACAACTGATTAGATTCCAGTCTTGCTCATATTCTCCACAGCCCTTAAAAGTAGCTCATCAGCTGTCAGGAATACAAATAACACAAGTTTTTTTAAAAAATAAAGTAATAAATCACTGCTCTTCTCCACAGACATCTGTACTGTTAAAATTAACAAATAAATAAATATTAAACAAATACAGTTCTTGTATACAGCCTACCATGAACCTAACTTACATGGTTTATGTCCCAGACCTTCTTAAGTCAGCAGAAGAGATAAGCTCTTCTTTGGGCCAAATCTCAGCCCTTCAGTTAGGCTCCTCCAGGGAGCTACAAAAAGCAGGAGCCTTGTTCTTCACTTCTTACACAGAGAGACTAGGAAGATTAACTTCCTAAATTAGCCACCTAAATTAGTTTTCTGTCTTAGGCAGTGTGGTTGTCTCCTTCCTATTGACATTAAGTCACTATAAAGTCATGCAATAGTATCATTTCCAAAGCATTTTATATATTTTTATACCTTTAAAAAGAGGTGGACAAATATATATCCAATTTTAAGGGGGTGACTCAGCCACTAATGCACACTAAGAACCAAGCTGATATAAAATTATCATATACAATTATTGGTTTATTCTATATATTTTAATAACGAAATACACTGGTATGATATAAACCCCTTGATCAGTCAATTAAGTGTAATTTGTGTAAACAGGAAGTCATAGTCTTGTTTTGCAAACAATTTTGCCAGGTTTCTTTAACAGTCTAAGCTTTCTAACATTTCAGTTAGAACTGGATAAAACATCAAAGAATTACAGATTCCATGTTTCTAACACTTTTCATATTAACAACAGATATAAGTCATATTAAAGGCAAAAGCCTTGCAAAGTGACAGTAATATTTATTTCAGTATTAAAAGAAACTCCTACCAATTAAAAATTAAGATTTGTGTGTTCAGAGTGTGGGAACAACAATGTGAAAACGCTCTCTAAAACTACATCAGCATAAAGAAGTACTAGTGCCAGTCAGGCCTTGCCTCCTGACTCTAGTAACCAAGACAGACTGGTCTAAAAAAGATGTGTCAGAGTCACAGTAATCTATGTACAATCAGGACAAGGGCAGCAAAGAAGCACAAGAATTGGAAATGGTATTAGAAAAGTCACAATAATATTTTCCAGATGCTAGTAGTGATTATTCATTTCTGGAGGAAGTAGAGAGAAAACCTTTTTCCCCAAAGAGCCTTAAAAAAAGATGTGTATTTAATTTGGTTAGGTTTGATGCAATCATCATTTCATTATAAATTACATTCTTGCTCACTTAGTTATCACCAGGTCTGGTTTCAAGGCCAGTGCCCACCCAGCTGCCTCACGCAGGACAACACCGACCTCGAGTGGCCAGTGCCCTGGCCGTGACAGGGGACCTGTGGTGAAGCCAACACCCAGCTGATGTGCTGCTGTCACCTCAAACGTGGCCTACAGCAAGCAGAATTTCCCCAGATCTGCTGCATATACAATACTCTCAGCAATATAACACTTACGCATTGTCATCTAGCCAAAGGTCTCCTCTTACCTACCTGCTTCTTCCCCACATATAATAATGTGCCTGTAGGTGACATCCCAGAACAAACTTCTGAGTCATTTCAATTGCAATCTTTCTACCAACACCAAAAATGTCAAAGTCAATGTTACAGTAGAGCTGTTTGTTTACAAGCAGAGGGCACATGCAGGCTGGCACTGGGCTGGCTCCACCTGAAACCACTCACAAAAGCATCACATCAGGGATATCCTTCACTGGTTTCACTGGCAACCGAAATATAACCAAGAGAAACCTGCAGTTTCAAAGTTGAGGGATAAGGGCAGCAGAAAATACATACGCCTATGGTGGGGAAAAGCCTCTTCTTCAAGTATTCAGTAAGATATTGCTTTCATTTGGAATGGGTTCATTTGGAATTTCTTTTCTTCTTCTCCAAGACACTAAGATCCCATTCCTCAGTAGATTTTCTCAGCTTCCAACCAAATACTCCAGCTGAGTGCTAAGGAATGGATTTGACTCCTAAAATCAAATACTCGCTCTACTGCATTTAGTCAAGTTTATAATTACTGTAATATAACGCAGAGAATCGCAGAGAACATGGTGACAGTTTAAAGCTTGATCCTGCTGCCCACACTGTGTGCCTACGTCCAGAGGAGTAAGTAGGACCAGCACACCCGTTTATCTAGATGGCTGGATATCAGCTTCTGATCTGGTAAGATCTTGGTGAGATAATATCCACAGCTAACACCTACCACCTTTATAGCGGGCTCATCGTGGCAGGGTCCGAGTGCCTAGGGTGCAATACCGGACTGTAGCAGACTAAATCTCTAAATAATGCCTTAGCTTTGTTAAACTACCTCAAAACTTTGACTTTATTCCAAATGCAGAATTATTAAAAAAAAAAATTAAACATAAACCTCATTAAAAACATCAATACTTGTAAAAATGCAACAGCAAATGTACTTCTGTCTCATCTTTGTTAATAAACACGTTTCCTAGTTTCACATTTCACTGTGCAAAATGAAAAAAGTCTTTCAAAAGCTGAAAAAAAATCTCAGTTATAAAGTAATTGATTCCAATGTCCTGCCTGAACCACCACGCCTGCTTTACAGCAAGGCAGAGTGAAAAATGGTGGGAATCAGCTGCACCCTTTAGCAGAACACAGCAGAACACATAAAAATAATATTCCAACAAACTCCCCACACCCTGACAGATCAGATCTTCTGTTCACACAGAATATATCACATATTAGCAAAACAGCAGAAGCAGTCTCCAAGAAGACAAATGACATCATTTCAGAAGTTTCAGAAAGAGTATCTTTTATCTTCATTTAAAATTCCCATTAAAAAGAGACTTTAAAAAAAAAAGAGCTGCACTATGCTTTTTTGTTTTCAAGAGACAGCATAAATCTTGGTTTTGTCTTTCATACTGTTCATGTCAATCGCAAAGAGGCCTGATGTATGAGGTACTTATTAGAATATATTTTCCTCAAAAGATGTGTGGGTACCATAAATAGTGTGACAAATTTTTATTTATTTATTTATTTTTATTTAGAAACATTTTAATACAAAAAAAAAATTAAAAAAAATCCTTCCAACAAGGTGGTTCTGTACAGGTTAAAAAATCGCAATGGGAGAGAATTTGAACATTGCAACAAAATGACTATGTAAAATTCCCAAGAAATGTCAAAAGATGGCTTGCCACAAATAGACAGCACAGGAAAGGGGCAGGCAGGAATGATCAGGAGCAGATGCAGCTGAGAAGCAGATGGGGATCTGTACCACAGCCCTTTGTTCAGTGCAATACAGAGGATACACCCGGGGAGGGAGGCTGGTGGGCTGTGGTCTCTTCCTCCCCAAATCTTACAGTTCTGGGACTGAACTGAAACAAAACCACTGCATTTGTAAACCAAACAGAAAAAAACCCCACCAAACCTCCCTCTCCAATTACAGATTATCTAGGAAGATAAAAAAGCCCCATATCCTCTAATACAGCAAAGTCTAAAGAAAAAAACATGTTAAATAAAGAACTGATGTTACCTTAATCTAAGGTAGCCACTGACCACTGCAGTAAATTATCTTATGCACTCCTAGGCTGTCAATTTTTTCTATAAAGTACTTGATATAATTTATAGAAAGGAAAAATATTTTTCTGAGCTGTCAATGAAGCTGAATGCCTAAACCGCAGAAACACCTTCTGGATAGCCAATGAATTTAAACTAATCTGCATTCAAGTCCATATAGCAATTATTCTGCCAGCTTGCCTCAGCAATTATGAGAAAAAAAAACAATTTTCAGAGATAACCGAAGCTGGAAAAGACGACTGTGTTCACTAGCTACATTCCTTTATATCTGACACAAAGCAGTCATTTCTAAAATGCCCAAGGATTCAGGTGTACAAAGATGTATCACCAGGACAGTAATGAAAGGACCAAGTGTCAGCTGCAACTTTGTTCAAAGAGAAACTAGGAGGAATTAGATAGACACTGCAGGCATTCTTTCCCTCAAGGTCTGAATACATACACACTGAACCCAAAAAAAAAAGCAAAAAAAAAAAGCACCATCAGCTCAGGCTTGGAGAAGTGCTGTTAGTTTAGAGCTTGGTGCACAGATAAAGTATCATTGTCTGGGTATAACAGCAATCTATGCTAGCTTACTGCATCTGCATGTTAAATACACTTAAAATAATTTTATGTTCCTCCCATCCTCCCCTCACTCCCTTTTCTTGCAAATTAATTATGATACTTAAAATGCAATAGTTAAAGCAGAGTTTTCAATTAATATCAAGTCAGTATTTAATATAGTCAGAAGATTCCACAGTCAGTGGCATCAGACCTTGGTAACGGTAATTTGCAAACTGGTATTCGCTGTTGACATGGTTTATGATCAATTATCCTGTAACTCAAAAGTACAAAAGGTTATATATGTTATGAATAGATGTTAATGCTTTGTTTTCGACTTTTGAGGGCAAATTTGAAAAGTTTTTTCATTGAACAGTTTCAAAATAAAAATGTGATACCTGTCAAAGATGTCAGGAGTTTCTCAGACCAGTTTCATACTGTCAGCCTAGCATATGGAAGCACACCCAATGGGGAGAAACCTCTCAACTGTCCTGTCCAAAGGAACCCCCTCAAAACAACCATCCTGAAGGTTCACATCACACCAAGTTAACTCCCAAATCCAAGGCAAGATCTACCTTCTCCCATCTTCATTCACTCCAAGAATGAGACTTCAGCACTGTTACTCGAGCAGATGGCTAAAATGGGCAACGTACCTTGGCAAATAGTGCCGAGAGTAGCTATCACAAGGAATAATGTTTTCTGCTGAGGTGTCTGTCAGAGACGATTTTACCCACACTATTGATCCTGTCAAGTTCTACCACTGTCATATTTAAGGGCTAAATATAAGACTAATGTAACTCTTGCAGGCACTCTCAGATCACAGATACCTCTGAGAAAGGATTCATTCAGGCTCTTGCTCCCAGAATCTGAGAAACCACACTGCATTTCCAGCAAGACCTGGAACACTGTAGACCACAGCCTCTGAAGGGTGACTGCTATTTCTGTACCTGGGACTATAAAGAAAACCTTTTTAACAGAAGTCCTTTCTTTGAGAAACTGCAAGTCCAAACTTCAGACGAAGTTGGATAAGTCTGCATGTGCAAGTAAGAACACATCTTGCTATCTTTATTCACATGATAAATCCTTTTGAGATTAAACAGATGTAGGCAACACACATTAATTACATGTACAACAGCCACAGGATCCAAACTCTGTTTCTGGATGCTTTGCCAAATCTGAAAGTCTTTTGAAGCAAGGAAAACAACAAACAAGACACTTATCAGCAAGTTTGATCATGCAGGAAGAGCAGATACATTGAAGAGCAAAACAAAACAATTCAGTGGTTAATGCCATAATGTAGTTTACATACATAAACATTACATAATAAACATACACATATAGGTGCATTTTCAGTTTTTCAATACCAGTCATTTCCAGTTTCAGACCTGAAAAAAAAAAAAGAAATGTCTCACCCAGAGCGGCGCTTTCCTCCTCTGGAGGGCATGGATCCTGCCATTCTCACTTGTCCACTTGCCATTGGTGCCACCGGCAAGGCCACTGAGCCTGGAATATCTGATGCCATTTCTGTAATGCAGAGGTAGGAGGGGGGGGGGGGGGAAACCCAACCCTTTAATCCATTACATTCAAGGAGAAAACTGTGATGACAACATTAAAGAAAGGTACTTTCAAAAATAAGCAGGGAAATCTTTCCTTTTTATTTCTAAGGAAAAGTAAAGCTCTCATATCAAAGACCAGCAGATTCACAGCTCCCTTAAAAGAAGCCCAGTTGTGTCAATAGCCATTAGGACTGCCCCGGGAGACAATCACAGCTCAGTACCTCTGTATTTCAATTTACTTAATGGTTCTAATTTTACTTCTCAGAGGGGCTGTCAGTTGAAGGACAACAAACTTTTACAATTGTTAAACTGCTCTGTAGAGAAATGCAGAGCTGGATTCCCAAGTCAAATGAAGCTGTGGATCATGGTACCAGGGTATCAAGAAAAATAAAACTTCAAAAACTTTTCAGTTTGCCAGTGAGGTCAAGAGTTTAGAGTAGGGATGAATTATCAGGTGACACTGCTTTTTATTATTTATATTCTGGTGGCATTCAGAGGACCAGACTGAACTTAGCAGAGCTCCAAGGCTTCCTGTATTTCTGCACGGTGCCTTGCAGAGCAGAACCGAGCCCCAAATCCAGGCTGATACTCATCTCTGCCAGTGCTGTGGGTATAGCCACAGGTTAATGAGATCTTCAAACCTCAAAACTTTGATCTGAGGAAGAGCAAGAGCACACTTTACACAATGGTTTTCAGACTGCTAATGGCAAGTACTTTTACAACCTATTAATAATAGTTTATTACACTTAAAAAAAGAAAAGCAGAATATATTTCTACCCTTTTCTCCTATCCTATGGATTAAGTTCTATGCAACTCCTGTAAACCATGTAAGCAATTAAAAGTTTTTTAATGCAGATATACTTTACCTACTCTGGAGGTAAAAATCTCCAGTCAAAACATTTTATTATGTTGAAAGAAAAGAAATTATTTAAAAAACTTGGTGGAGTACCTGGAGCTACAAATAAATATATTTACTAATAGAAAACAAATATGTTAAAAACTCCTGCTATTTTTTTCCAACAGATAAGTACAAAAGAACTTAAATTATGGAAACAGGAATCCACGTTCTTTCATTATGTCTGGAGAGCACTTCATCTCTGCCACACTTTATATAAATCCACTATGCAACATTATGCATTTCAAATAATAACACTTTATCTGTTCACTGATTTCATGGATTTCTTCTAGTACATTTGCTTTTATTAACTCATCTTCAACTAAAAAGCAACAGAGCAAAGTACTCATCCAATATTTTTCAACAAAGTGTGCAAGGACAAGCAATGAGACCTCTGCCTACAACACCACATCACACCACGGAAAGTCCCGCCGTGTCTAAAGCCACTGCTATGTGGAAACACTACAGCCATGTGTGTTACCATATTTCTATACAAATAAAAGCATCAGCATCCAAACAACTGGTAAATCACTATTTCCAGAATAAGTACCCTTAGTGGACTAATGGCAATAATTCACTTGGAACACTGAAACTCACACTGCATGGATAGAACCAAAGGTAATTTTGAAATGCTCTGCTCACTCATTTATTAAAGCAGATGGTAAAAACCATAATAAATCTACCTGCAAAGTGTCCCTGTCACTCTGAAACACATCTCAGGATATGTCACCAAGGAGATCAGATTTTTTAAAGCAGTAATTGTAAAACAGTTTCAGATCAACTTGGAGCAGTATTTTAAGAGAGGAAAAATAACATCACATTTGTAATTGCGATGAGAAATTCTTGTAACCTTATTTGCATCAATCTAAAACAAAGATGATGAAGAACCAGGCCAAGTTGGATTCACTTGCTCTTAAAAGTCTAAAAGCCAAAGCTAATTATTTAAGGTAACTTTCTAGATCACTAAAAGGGAAACAAAGCACCATTCCTGCACTATTATGCATCCCGTGCTTAGATGAGCATCCAAAATAAGTTGAGTAAATCTCTTTCTATAGGTCACTGGCTCTCACCACTGAAAACTCAGGGAGACCTAGACAGATAGCTTTGATCAGACATCCAATTTAGGGGGTTGTGGTTAGGCAGAATGAGTTGGTTTTCTGGTCTTATCTTCAGTTTTTAATGTACAAAGATGTGAGAGGCAAGGGTAGTTAGCGAGTTTCAAGTAGTAAGGAAAACCAGAAACTGTGTATCTTTTCATAAGAAAAAGGAAAAAAGGCCATAGCAATGGTCAGACCACAGGCTCAGTTCTATGGGTCCAAAAGCACCTGAAAGAAAACATTCTGCAACAAATAGATCATCTATCCATCAGGGTGTAAGCTAAAGAGCTACTGTGTTATCTTGAATCTCCAGAATGGCACATAAAAACAGTGCAATGAAGAAAGTACTTCTTACATAAAATAGCCTTCAAATATGTCTGCACAGTCCTGGGAGAACAAAACCAAGCTCATTGAGCTGACTGCTTTAACATAATGTCTTCAAAAAATTTCATTTCCAAGATATAAGCACAAGAAGATAAAATAAAATAAAAAAAAAATCAGGGGATACACACACATTGATCCAGGTGAAAGCTCAACTACGAGGTAGGAAAGCTTCAGGTCTTTCAAATCAGAAGACTTTCCATTACGCAACTGGTTGAAGGTGTGAGAGACCTGCATATACATCAGTGTGTAAGACACCCAATTTACCTTTCCACTTCAGAGTTTCCCATCTCAAAAAGATACCAGCCATTGTGTGACCTATTGCAGCTTTCGTGAACCCCTCAAGGGTGGACACACACTGCTCACAAAAGCGGTGCAATGTGTGAAGTTACAGCAACATAAATTTAGGGCAGCACCTTCAAAGTAAATGAAGGTATTCCCCCTCCCTGGAAGTGTTCAAGGCCAGGCTGGATGAGGCTTTGAGCAACCTGGCCTAGTGGAAGGTGTCCCTGCTGATGGCAGGGTTGTTGGAACTGGATCCTCTTTAAGTTCCCTTCCAATCCTAACCATTCTGTGATTCTATGATTCTATGTTGTAGCTGAAGCTAGTATGAAATCCCAGCACTGCAGAACCAGGTGTCAAGTTGGTTATATATATATATATTTTTTAAAAAAATAAATAAATAAAAAAGAAGATGCTGGGTCAACAATCACAAAGATCACATTTCCAGGCTCATCTACACCCACGTCCAGACAGATGTTAACACTGATGTTCACAGAAGTGTTTCAGCAGCAATGAACATTAGGAAACAAGCTGTTTTCTTTCTGAGATTGGACCTTCTGAGAAGGGGACTTTCCTTTTGCCAACAGAAATAAAACAAGCGTTGCTTACTTTACCCAAAATTAAAACATGAGCATAAGAGTATAATGTTCAGAAAGTAAAACAAGGTCAGGCTGAATGTTCATGAAAATAATCTATAATTATCAAGGCAGTATTCTGAAAAGAATTATTTAAAAGAAATTCCTTAGTTTCAAGTAGAATCACTTTTCTGCTGCAAAAATATACACAATATTTAATTTGAAAGTTAGAAAGTTACCTAGAGATCTGACAAAGAACACAGAAATGCTAATAAAATAAAACCCAGCACAAAACTCAATCTTCAGTGGATATTCTTCCAGTTAGATGACACCTAACAGCCCTTGTCTTATCACTGTCAGGCCTGATCCTGCACTAATACTCATGTTCATCTTGGGGATCCCTGGGGAGCCACACTAATCCAAGGACAATGTCAGTGCTCAATGGAAAAGCAGCAGAATTAGTCCCTCCATTTCTGTCAAGAATTAATTTCACTTGGATATCACACTTTCCTTCAGCACCACATGTAGGTGACTCACAAAAAATTCAAGGATCTTTTTGAAATAAAAGACGATCTGCAAATGTACATTAAAAATATAGGGAAAAAAATGAAGGGAATTATTCCCAATAAACTCCATGTTCATCTCAAGCTTTTTATAGAGAGGCATACAAAAATCAGCTACCATGTACTTCACAAAGTAAAACATGAAAAGCAAGCTAAATGCTGCATGAGGATACCTTGAAAGTGCACGTGAACCACAATCACAGCAAGAATTACTGGATGGTGCAACACACCAGGATGAATCTGGACTTCCCTTTTTAGTCAGAGAATTACTAAACCACAGCTCTTTAGCCCAAAGTTTCAAATCTTGAGCCTCAGCTCAGGTCCACTGCCTGAAGTGCAGCTCTAACTTGTCTCTGACACGAACGTGTGAGTTGCTGAGACATCCCCAGAGAAGCGCAGCTCTTCGGTCAGGTATCTCCACAGCCTGCATCACACAGCTCTGGAGATGGTGTTTCCTGCTCCGCTCCTCTCCAGAAACCACAGTTGTGCTTCTTGCTGTGAAGCTTTGAAGCACAACCAGACGCTGTGCATGACAAGACTCTTACAAAAGATCATATTAACCACACTATTTTCAGCCACTCAGGCATCCCAGGCTATACACCTCTCACCTACACGTGCCAGAACCAGACAGGGTCAGGTTCAAACCTGAAGTCTACTGGAGAAATGCTTTCACTGACTTCAACGGGCTCAGAATCCCCAACATTAACTTTAACGACCAGTTCAAGGTTTGCTATGACATGTCAGGTACCACTGAGCATGCTCTCCACAGGGCTCTCTTATCCTTCAGTATCTACTGTAATAAACAGGATTAAAGTCAGATACCAGCATCTGATTAAATAAATGAGATTCTACTTTTATCAATACAAATGTGACGGATTTCTAGCCGCTAATCCACAGAACGACTGAGATGTCAATCACATCCAAGTAAATGTGGATCTAAGGCTAAATACAGAATTACGAATGTGCCCTCTACCGTGAACAGCATCATACACAAAGATTTTAAATGTTCTAAGAAATCAGATTTCAAAAACTTCTTTGAAAACTGTATTTTTCCATACCCTGAAGTCATACGGGAGTTGGACGTGTCTCAGCAAAGAGGTTTTGATTGCAGTCAATTGCAAAGGGGATTTTCTGCCTAGCACAGAGACGTTTAAGAATAAACTAAATCATATC